AAAGAATTCTCCCTACACCCTTCCCTGATACATTCATACCCTGGTCTATCAAACAGGTTCTTCAGAAGTCAAAAGCAAAACCAAACCAAAAAGCTTTCAGGAAATGCTTCATCTTTTTACATCATGATCTATTTTTTAATCCTTTGGGGAATTTTTTTTTCAACCTTTTCTTGAAGCACATGTCATAAAGCAGGGCTGGGAGGAGGCACGATTTGGCAAGGGTTGGAGAATTGGTTGGAACCAGACCCAAACCTGCCTGTACAAAAATGGAAAGAGTGAGCTCGTTCACCTGTTTAGCTACCTCTGGGTTTTCTAAGTACCTTCTTTGAAGATGAAAGTAAATCAAATGTATTTCCAAGAGCACTGGCTATAGTTTCTAAAGTTACTTAAAGGTCTGGGGGAGGGCATTTTTTAAAATTTTGATCATGGAATCAAATTCACTCTTTTTTCCTGGCAACAACTTTATTTATCATGCCTAATTTTTGCTTTTTAGTCTCTGTGTACATTTCATGGGTCCCTGGGTATCTTTTGTATTAGGGAACCGAATGTCTAAACAACAAATTACATATGGGAAGAGACTAAATTTTCTATTCCTTTTGCAGCCCACCTCCTCCCCCAACCCTAAACCGGCTTTCAAAGGAAAAAGGACATTTAGTCAAAGGCTGACCAGTGTACTTGGTTCATCCTCAGCACCTGAGAAATGGAATTCTGCTATTTCAATGATCCTTTCCAGCCTTCACCTTCAGTTTGAGGTTCATCTAAATATTTTGTTGAATCTTCCCAAGGAAATGGTCTCTGAAGAAAAGTTTTCTCTTCTCCATGACATTGAGGCAGGGATTGTAAGGGAGTTGAAAGGAAAACCAAATTCAAAGTGGCATGCTTGGGTCTATCTAGGGCAAGAGGTGGAAAAAAAAAGCCAGGTCAGTTTCATGGGAGTCTCTGGCTCTTATCCTAAGGTACTCAGGAGTAGCTCTTTGAGAGAAACCTAGAAATAAGTCAGCCTGGAACAGAGAACCGAGCCAGAAATTGAAACACGAAGTCTTGGGTTCTAATCCTAGCTCTGATATCTCAAACTTGATGATCTTATACAGATTACCGCCTCTTTGTAAACTTCATTTTCTCATCTACCTTCCCCTTCTCCTAAATCTTGGTGTACTGGGCAGGCACCTCTAGCTAATGCTACACTGAGAGCATTTCTGGGCACAGAAAGTAGGCTGGGGGAATAGGATAAGGAATTGAAGGAGGAAATCTACACCTTTTGCTGGGTTCACAGAAATCACACACAAGTCCATGTAAGCATTGTCTTTTGAAGCAAATGCGAGCAGACTATATTCCATACCCTTCACCCTAGATTTTTGTTTTTTAGAGAAGAGGCCAAGAACACCAACATCCAAATCCCACTTAGGATCTGTCATTCTCCCTAGAACTGAGATTAAAAAAATATAGTGCCCTCTCTATAGAAATATACTCCCATCAAAATAACCAGAATGGGTTTTCCATGTGTTAATACCATCATCAACATTTAATTTTTAACATAAACTTTACAATATGTACAATTGGTATTTGGATAATACACTTATGTGTGAATTGTAGAAATCAAGCATGTATACTATATACATGTGTACACAAGCATTTGTATTCACAGGATAAGTGCATTTGATCATCTCTGATCTATATCAAGTGGCAAGCAGTCCTCATCTGATACAATTAGATATGAACACAGTACAATGCATAGGGGTTGAATGGGAAAGGGCAACTGCATATTGGGAGAACTTTTCAAGTGTAGACCCCACATCACTTCCAACCCTGTATACCAAAAGAAAATGGGGTATCTGGAAAGGTCTAATTTTGTCTCAAGTGACAATAAGCAGTGCTTTTGGAAGGAAAATCGCCTCTTCACTCATATTATCAACCAATACATTTAGCTTCCACCTATTCAGATTTTTTTTCTCCTTGAAGTCCAATTATGACTACTATAGCCATGGTTAATACAAACAGGCTGCATTTCAGAAACAATTCATGTCTCTTTTTCAAGGATGCATGTACAACCGCTATGCACAAAGAAATAGTACAGGAATGTGTATAATATTAACGAATATATTCAGCTCCTCTGTAAGATATTTAAGTTTCTCAAATTAGTATTTATTTAGGTCTTAAATCGCCAGGGAATTCAGTACAAGGTATTTATTTATATGACAGCTGATTATTAAAGCTGCAGTTTTTAGATTTAAAGGAGATAAATTTTTAATCACCACTTAATTAACACCAACATTTTTTTTTCTTTTTCATTAGCAATTCTATTTGCAAAGAATTCCGGGCATTTGTCATTTCCTGAGAAGGATATAGAATATTAAATACACATCAGTGGCAGACATATCAAATAGAATAAACAATGTGTGACTATATGACAGCCATGAATCTTTTGACTAATTAACAGTCTTGGCTAGAGTCCCATTTAAGTGAAACTATTTCATTTGTAAACAAGGTGTAATTTTCTTTTTTTTCTTCCAGGAAGATAAGTGTAAAATGATTCAACGGATCTTGTGCAATGGGTGAATTTTAATGTTTTCAGCAGAAAAGCTAAATATTAAGACTTCTCAGGCACCTGTGAAACAGGGGCGAGAAAACCAAGTATAATCCATGAGACACCCAGTCCTGGTGCTGGCTAAAATAATTCAGAGAGGTTTGCAGAGGACAGAACAAGAATGAGTGGTTAGATTATAATCCTGCACCTCTCCCTGGCAGAAAGATAGATCCATTAGGAACTTGCCTGCTCAGAACATTGAAACAAGAAGTGGCCTAAAAACTTGCAGGTGTAAGGATGATGAAAACAATTTTCCAGAAACACAAAGGTTTCTCAGAGTAGAGTTTGTGCTCTGGAAGACCATCTTACACAGAATATTTTACAATGGTTGCATGTGCTTGGTACTACCCATGGACAGAGACTGAGCACTTGCATTCCATGCCTATCTGAGGACCAGTTGAGTCCTTCTCAAGTGGAGAAAGCCATCTAGAATTAATGAAATATTATGAATGACAGCTCTAACTTAAGTCAGATGAAACTCAGGCATCTGGGTTCAGTGATTTGTGCCATCAACAAAAATCTAATACCTCAGCACTGGGACATGTCATAAGAATCCTCTATAACAGATCTATAGTTCAGGGATTCCTATTGAATTCTTGTTACCTCCTGTACTATGAGTTCCATTTGGAAATCAACCATCTGACCAGTGGTTGATTTTTTTTTTTGACTTGGCATCATTCCATTTAAGAGTCAGTGAACTTAGTGGAAGAGGAAAAGCATGTCTTTATGTTACAGCATCAATTTTCTAATTTTTAATAAAAAACACTTTGGGTATTAAAAGGAGCATATATTTTTTTTCACTGCACTACTGTTGGTTCTTCTGAGAGCCACATTTTTAGTTTATTTATCCAGAGACATAAGGGGTTAATAACAGAAACAAGGCTGTTCTGGGGAGAAGGTTTTTTGACCTATGAAGTCAGTCCAAGTGTAATCTGCACTCTCCCTGGAGGTCTTTGTGGCATTTGGCATTCCCCTGGGTTCTGAGGACACCAGAGGAAGACAGAAAGCCTTTTTGGATTGATGACTTATCACTGCTTTGTATTCTGGGGAGATTTTTCAATTCATTTCATGTGAAGACACACCAGATTTGTGAGGAAATGGTGGTGAACCCCGCTGGGGGCGGGGGTTAAAGATCTGAAATGCAATGGGAGAGCAAAGGCAGAAAGTGCTAAAAGCTTATACAGTCACAGAAATTTACATTTAAGATCAGACATCGGGGTGACTGTACCAGGCCCTTCAGTGGGGCTTCTCCATGGCTACTCTTGGGACTGCAAAGGTACAGAAACCAAGACATAAGGTGGAAACTTCAAGTGCATGTGTCTCCAGCACCCAGCCACCCCAAACTACCTGTACAATGACCATTTGTATACCTAACCCTGAATTGCACCCCATATCTTTAACTAAAAATTAAAAAGCAAAAAAGATAAAGGGAAGACTTTCTCACCAGCTGCCTCCCTCTGACTCTCTACCACTGACCCTAAAATGTATTGCAACCACTTTTAATCATTATAGGATCATGGTAGTTCAGGTGTGCTTTCCCATAGATGGAGCCATTCAATGTATTCTCAAACTCTAGGAGAATCATCCCTGGCACCTGCCCACTTACAGGAAAATCATAACTGCAAAACAGAACACTCCATGAGGAGAATAAATGATATAGTTTTTCCACCTGCCACCTTGTCCCCTTCTCCAAGAACCTGAAGCAGAATTCAGGAAGAAACTGGATGATGGCGAGGCTAGTCTATGTTAGCTTAGGGTTTCTGCAGCACGTCCTCAGACAGACTGAGTTCTTCTGCAAAAACGGATGGCTAGTTATCCCAAATATTTCAAGGATATTCATGCATGTGAAATACACTAATTAACAGAGTAGAACTATGTAAAGTGTTTAGTCAATATTGTTTGCCAATTTCTAAATCATGGTCTAACAAAGTATCATAACATAATAACTATCTTTTGGGAGGCATTTTTTGTGGCAGGCACTGTGCTAAGAAGTTCCTTGCACAAACATTCCCCTCTCTATCTCCAACTTTTAGAAAACTGGGTATCATTTCATGTAACACATGCACAGGTTTGAGTAGAATAAGAATGGGATAATGCAGGTGACTTAGAAATGACAAATGCTTTGCAGAGTTTTTTTATAGGTCTCTGTTGGTGCTATGAAAAGTTTGCCTCCAATAGAAAGAATATTCCTGAAGAGAGAAATCACTTGTTTCACTGAAGTTTATTCAAAGTTTGGAGGATACTTAGGGCAGATGCAAGAGTGTCTCCTGTTTTGAATTCTTTTGATTTGAGGAAGTTGAGGTGGAAATGAGCATCCAAAAAGATTTGATGATGTCAAGGAAGGTAAACCTAAAACTATGCCAGCCTTTGGCAGACAGATGGCATTGTACTTCTTACAGACCACAGTATGCATACGGCTGTTGGTGCATGTCATCACACAAACAACTCTGGGAAGAACGACACACAGCTAATTAGATACCACCATGGCTGTTTGGAAACTGAGCAAGCTATGGTTACTCTGAGAGGGAAGGGATAACAGATACTATACAACCCTGAGTCATCACCAAAAGGGAAGAAATGCAAACTTACATACACAGGAGTCTCCGGGATAAACTACAATGGCCACTGTGTCATAGACAGAAGGTCCACACTTAGGTATTGAAGATATAAACGTGTTCGTTTATGCAGCTCTGAACAAGACCATCAAAACACACAAATCAACATCCAAAGAGATTCCTGCCAATCTCCTCCTGAGGGTCCTTCTGGCTTTTTGCTATTGATGTGTCTTGGGAATGGACTATCATGAAGGTAGCATAATTACCACAAACACACTGATTTGCTACTCTTTGGGGGAACCTGGAGTTCTTGGGGTTGGAAGTGGGCTGTGATGAAAGGCATAACAATAAAGCTGAAACTGTTATAAGCCAGAATTCCTATTCTCTTGTACATGTCAATCTCACTACAGTGCAGATGCATTCTTAACTGATTTATTTTTGTCTGTGTCAGATTTACATGCATACCATATTGCTTATTCTGTAGTAGAGAAACCATTAGGCATTTCTGAGGAGACAATTACATGGTGGACTGATCTGAATGGAATTTGGAATATAGGAAATCATATTATCACCATTGGCATCCAACACATCATTATTGCCAACATACCTAGTAGGCATGTCCTGAAGACTTGCCTTCGGTTATTTATTTTTTGGTTAAGGACTCACCTATCTGGTGTCTGCCATGCCCAGCACACACCTCACAAGATTCCTTGAGTGGAAGATTACGGCATGGAGCCATGTGCAAAAGAGCCAACAAAAAAAAAAAAAACCTCCCTAAATCCTCTTCCTCTTAGCAGGGTACCATTGGACATCCAACACTGACCCTCCAGCACGCTGGCTGTTACATATGTTTCCCTATAGATAAAACATTAATGGAAGATTTTTAAACATCAGATTCGATACTAGGCATTTTCTTGTACACGCGTCTATTGCTGCAGGAATTTAAAACCCTGGGGGTAGAGTACATATTATTCTTATTTGCAGCGTAAGGCATAACATGCTCCGAAATATACACGTCACTGTGGCCCCGACTGTCCCTGGAACAGTACGATGCCGTTGACCTCAAGGACGAACGAAGATAGCTGTCATTCACCGCCTGGGATGGCAACGTGTGTTTGTAAGGGTCCGAGGGGCATCTCCCAATAACCAAGCGTTGGTCATCCCTGTGGGAGTGGAGGAAAGGGTTATCGGAGGTGTGGTCTGGCAAGAGAGACTTGCTCCTCTTGCTGTCCTCCAGACCTTGGGGGAAGAGGGAGCTTTTTTTCCCCGAGAGTTTGCTTGAGGGGATACTAAGGCTCCCGTACATATTTCCCTCCAGAAGCCGTTCCCGGTCCTTGAGGCTTATGCTCCGGGAGGGCCTGCTAAGGTCTAGCTCCCTAGGCTTGTCGACAATGTTATCGTAGGAATGCTGACGGCTAATCCTCAGCTTGTTCTTTTGTAACTGGAGGGCATTGTTCTGTGCCCAGTCCTGCTGGTAGACCTGCTCCCGGGTGGCTGGGTTACCTGTCTCCTGAAGCATCTGGTCTTCGTCGATGTCATAGAGGTTCCCCATCCGCAGGCAGGCATCACACTTGAAGGGAGACCTCATGGTGAAATGGCCTGAATAGGTGGGCAGGTTGGAAAGGCAGCTTCTGCAGTGCGTGGAGTTCTGCCGATATCGGTCACTGCCCTCGCTGTGAGGGGAACCCTTGTCTTTCAAGGTGAAGTGTTTGGAGTAGAGTTTATACTGGTCATTGTTGGCATGCCCGTCTTCATTATGCAGGGGGTTCCGGTTCGTTGGCAGCGTGGAGTCCCCCTTGCGGAAGTTTTCGTTGTGATCCTGGTAGGGGTCCGGGAAGTCCACATTCTCAGGCAGGGGCATGTTTTCAACGAACTGGGGAGGGTCTAAGTGAAAGCTGGGCTCCTTCTCACTCTCAATGGTGTAGATCTTGTCTCTGGGGGAGCTCGATTTGGTTTTCAGATAGGTGCGTTCGACCTCGCTACAGTCCTTGGGGTATTTGGAGGCCATTGACCTTTTGAAGTTGTCCTTGGTTTTGTGGTTCTTATTGTTGTCGGGTTCCCTATGGCACGTGGCTCGACTTGAAGTTTCTGAAATGTCAGAGTGAGCCATCTCTTCTGGAAGGTACCTAGGGCTCTTTAGGGAGTGGGTCCTATTCTCCATTGTTCCCTCATCCCTCTGGGACACTGGGTTCTGGGACAGTGAATCCTGGCGTATAGAATCCATGGATTTCTTCCAGAGTTGCCGAGATCTGGAGTTTCCTTTGGATTCTGTGCTCACGGCTACCTCCACTGTGTTAGGGTTGGAGTCATTGAGCGTGAGAGGGTGTTGTCCCTGGAACACATAGTTATTGAGGTTATCCTTGTGCCTGTTGGCCACAAATGTTTGGAGTTCATTCATATTGTCCCCAAAAATGCTGTCTTTCCCCTGAAAGGACCTGTTGTCTGAGTAAATCAAGTTGCCCTTATCTGAAACCATGTCCATGATGAGGGAACCTCTTTGGATGAAATCGGCAGCTCTTTTGGGAGAATCCATTCTTGAGGAGTTCATGTTGGACATGTTGGAAATGTTTTTAGCCGATCGGAGGAGTTTTAGCATGTTGCTCTGCGATCCTGTGAGATTGAAGTCTGGAGACTTCTTCTTTTCTTCAATGTGCACTCCGTGGATACAGCTGTAGATGCCCTGTAGGGGAGGAATATAAAACACCATCAGCAGCAGCAGCAGTGAACAGGAAACCATTTCATACTAGAACTTTACCTGCAAAGGTGAGACATATACTTCTTGTGGGAGTGCTGGAGAAACAGTGAAATTCAATATGAATCCTGATAATGTCTCTTAAAGGTATGAGACAGATTGCAAAACATCAGGTTTATCCTGTTGCTCTGGCTTGGGATGATCTGACATCTTTGCAAAGAGTCACACGTGGAACTTGAGAAAAGGTACCAATGGATGCTCATACAGGCTGTAAATGTCTCAGTGCCTCCCAAGTGGCATGTAAGGACAGTTCATTGACCCTCCCCGCATCCATGCTTTTATTAAAGTTTCCCAGCATCATCTTTGATGTTTGGACACCAGAGAGTTAGCTATTGACAAACAAACAAAGTCAGCCTGAAAGGATCCCTGTTGTTCATACTTTTTAGGAATTCCCCTTATCCATGTGTAGAATCAAGGCACGTGTTTTAAGTGGCCAATCAGAAACTACTTCCTCCCTGGACTGATTTGTCTAAAGGAAGTCATGAAAGCCAGATGAGGATAATCAGACTCTTTTTGGAGGAACAGATATGGATGCTCAGATGGAAGGAGGAGGTTGAGGGACTAGTCTTGCCACTATGTGGGGACATTAGGCTGAGGGTGAAGCCATCGCAGTGAGAAGCAGAGCCTGAGGGATAGAGAAAGACACAGTTTGAACTCCCAGAGTCAGTCTCTTGGACTTTTTACTTAATCCACTCAATATATTCTTTGTGTGTGTGTTTGTTCAACATAGCTAGAATTGGGTTTCAGTGACTATTTGTAATGAAGTGTTCTGATGACACAGTGACACCGCCAGGGAACTGAATGACTTAGGGACTCCTAGGCATCTCAAATACAAGCACTGAGCTCTGTGGCCTTGCAGAAGCCACTACCTCTATTTGAACACCCTCCACCTACAGGTGTCCTCATTTTATAAATCCTTCTTCTTTTTTAAAAAATAGTAGTTTAATTTCACTTAAAATAACTGTTTAACTGTAATAAAGGGAAGAACTCTTGGTTGATGCACCAATAACCGGCAAAGAGCATGAGCAAAGTTTTGATTTGTGGCCTCCCTTGCTTTCTCCCACTCTTACCCCAGACGTTGGCAGCTGCACCTAAAGGAAACAGTGAGATCAAGGCTGCAGGAAGTAAGCTGGTCTCCCCAGGACTGACAGGGAGCCAGCCCAAGAAGTCTGTAAAGCAGTTTTAGCAGCTGCTGACTTTGGCATAAACTACAGGAAAGTATGTGTGATTAACTGTGGACTCTGGTAATGGTGACTCTGTTGGTCCCCCACAGCGGGGACAAGCTTTACCCGCAGGGATGCTCACAGAACTGTGACAACCTCAACTCATTTGCACTGCTACATTTTTCTTGTGGTTTTCTAAACACAGCCTTCACTCCATGCCTTCAAGGAAGCATAAGCAGAAAAGCCTACGGTTGTGAGGGTGCACGCTTCTTTCTCTAATCCTCTCAACCCCAGGCTTCACAGTTAAGGCTCCCTGATGCTCAAGGCACTGGCACTGTAGCCTTTCCTGCCTCTCCACAACCTTATCTTGGGTCTCCTGCTATAGGTTGCATGTCGCTGGCTGTTTGTCCCACCATAAAATGATGTCTCCCTCTTCCACTATTGCTTCTGGGGCTGTTGTGGCATCCAGACTGTGGATGCAGAAATCACATAAATGGGTCATGTGTTACACACAGCACAGTTACTTCCTAACTTTCTGTGTTAACCTACGTCTTTCCCACCCAACCTAGAGTTATAATACTCTTATCCTCTGACCTAGAGGGATTCTGCTACTACGGGTGAAAAACCAGTGTGACTTTCTACGCCAGAATAAGCCAAAGTCTATGTCTTTTCTTCCTGTTGGTAGTATTATGAAAACAGTAGTTTTAACTATTTTTTTCCTGATCTTGTACTTTGGTTCTAACACTTTTCCCTCTGCCTCTGGAGATTCTAAAAACTGCCTTCCACTCCTTCACACAGAACAGCATGCTCCCACGGGCCCAGATGAGCTGGCTGCCTTTCTATTTGGAGGGGCCCCACAGAAGTGGTCAGGGAGCTGAGTGGTGTTGCAGGAGATGAGAGGATGGCTGTCGACTGCTTTCTTTGGTCCCTGATATCCCTAGGAGTTATTCGACATAGCCAAGGCAGTTCCCAGGTGTTGAGGTGTTGATCTGCCTGGTGAGGCCATGGAAAGGAGTCGAAGGGATGGACCCAGCCTGGACCCCAGGTTCCTATGACAGCATCCTCCACCTGGGTGGCCCATCCTCTAGATGGGCTGTTGAGGAGAGGGAATGCATATTGCAGAACAGTGAGAGGAGTCAGAGGCCTGGAACCCAGTGGATAGGAGTCCCCGCTCCATCACTAATTAGCTCTGAGGCCTTGCATAAGCCACTACATCCACTTGAGCCTCAGTGTCCACATCAGTAAAATGGGAAACATGTCCTCCTAAAGTGGGCACCAGGGCAAGCTAAAAAATGCATATAGACACCCTGGCACCATAGGTGGTCAGCAAACGAGAGCTGAAGAACTGTCCAATCATCAGGGCCCACCCATATGGTCAATTTGTCCTTCTGCTCTTCCCCGTGAGCTTGGGCATGCAGTACCCACCGTGTTGAAGCTGTAAGAAATGCTTGCTCTTCTTCACTGTTTCAGGTTTGTTCTGGAAAGCCACTTTGGCTTTCTGGTTAGACAAGCAACCCATACTCTACCTCGGGTGCCAACTAAATCCCTGGGCTAGAGTTTTTTTCTTCCCTGCACAGTTATCTCTTTTCTCTTCTTTATTATTCATAGATCCAAGGTACATTTTATGGGTCACAGAAATAAGATGCTCTCTTGGCCCCACAGTAGAGACAGAGCCAGTTACAATTTAGTATTGTTTCAGGCAATTTTCTTTGCACCCCTAGAGGGCGCCTGATGAATCAGAACATTCTCCTCAAGGTATGGGCTCTAGTATCTTTTGTGGTCCCTTTGAGACTGCACCCAATCCCCAAAGCATCTGACTTCTCTGGGTCCCAATAGTGGGTTAGCCCAAGGTTCCTTCCATTCTGTTTCCCAGCTCCCCTCATCTGATCTCACTGGAAAGGCCACCAACTTTCATCTCCCTGGTTTTTGGCTTTGTTATGTCTCCCATTCCTCACATCTCAGGATAAAGTGAGGCAGTCCCTTTTTCAGTGATAGTGAATTTTTTTTTTTTCTAAATAGAAGGGAAGGCATTTTTGGAAAGAAAACAAAAGTTGAGAGTCTCCCACAGATTGTTGTAAGTTGTAAAAGACAGGAGCCACTGCCCTGAGAGAGCTCAGTTCCAATGTTAAACAAATGTCTTCTCTGAGCATTGGCCTTCTCCCTTGGCAGTGCCAGGAGGGCACTTATCCAAGGTGTGCACTTGTGTTGCACTATCCAGGAGCTTCCCTGGGGATGCTAAGCCATGAGGAGGTCCATGTGTGTCTACTGCTTGGTAATAGCTTCCAGTCTATTGGCTGGACATTCAACTTGCTGAGAGGAGACTGCGTGACAGAAAGACCCAGCTTCTGTGCAGAACAAAACCTGGCTTGGAGAAGGAGTAAATTTTAGGGCATCCCGGGTCAGCATCGTTTAGGATGAAGCTTAATCTCTGAAGTTGGTTGAAGCACATGACCCAACCCTGCATAAACAGACAAGTCTCCTTTTTCATGTCCTTTCCCAGTATAATAAGTGAAGTGAGATATTTCTCATTTTTCTAAGGAAATAGAAGGCAAAGTCAAAAAGATCACATCCTAACCTTAGGGGCCTCAGCCCCCCCCCCCCCCCCCCCCCCCATTGCATGGGTGTGATCATATCAACTTTACGAGGTGTTGTGAAGATGAGAAATGACAGGTCCTTATCCACACCCTGGGCATAATTCATTACGTAGTTATGTTCTTGTACTTATGGAAAGTAGGTTCTTTGCTTGAGAACTCCTCACTGCAGATTTTGTTAAAGAAAATGATTGCACACAATGAATTCACTTTTGTTTTGGTGCATGCTCTCTGTGCTGTGCAAACACATATGTAACATATGTACCTAAGATATGCAAAATACGAGCGTATGTGTGTAGATGTGCATAGAAGACCAGCTTTAGTGGTGGTGGTAGTCCTCAACCAAAAGGAAGATCATTTTTTCAATAACCCAGATCCTTGCTCTGAACAGCATCATGGTCTGAACCTATTTTGAGCTCCCCTAACTAATGAGAGAGGCAGAAGAGTACTATTAAGTGTGTGATCTTCCTATTCATTCTTATCAGGCTGCACTTATTTTAAAAGACAAATATTGTCTGGAGAGAAGGAGAGTCAGAGCTCAAGCAGGATTCCCTGCAGCCTCTGGAGATACAGCAGCGATGGTGGTTGAGAGTTCCCCAGGGGGCACAGAAGTCTCTACATTGCTCCCATAGGACATGGGGTCCTCTCTCCCCTAGGGAAAGGGAGGCTAAAGTTTACATTCCAGCCCATCAAAAACTCCCTCAACAATGCCTTCTCCTGTGCTGCCTCCCTCCATCTCCATCTTTTGGAAAGGGACTGAGGGCTTCAGTGCGTTTCTTGTAATGATGATTCTATCAATTTGGCTTCCTTAATGGTGTCTCAGACAGAGGAAACACTCTTCCAAAAACAAGCAAGATTTACAAGTAAATGCTACAGTGTTCATTTGCTTGGTGATAATCCCAGAATCATTTGGATATGAGAAGCCTTTAGTAATGGGCTGAGAGAAGCAGCTTAAAGTTGGCATAATACCTAGCTGTATGCATGTATGTTGTTATTTTTAAGCAATCTATGTGTTTAGATGCCATCAAGCTAATTAGGAAATATGTATTTGCACAGAACCCAAATTTGGAGTGTAACTGAATGGAGAAAATAAATCTTCCTCACTGAGCCAGTGTGTACCTTCTGAATCTCCAAAGTTCTTGAAATTACCAAATGCTAAGAATATACATATTTAGTTTAAAGCGATGATTTAGTTTTCTCAGCAGACATTAGTATATAAAATTCAATGTTTTTAACCAAAATTTTTCACCATGTTTCAAATCCTAATTCATTAAGCTATGCCAAGGTTAAATTAAAAAGAAAGAAAGAAAAGAAAAAATAACAAGGAGAAACATGTAGATAAGTGGGTGCTTAGAAGGTAAATAGATAGATTATACTGTTCTAGAAGATGTTTGGACAATATGCATGTGTGTGCTCTTATTTTGATGCAAGGAGGTGACTAGGTTGCACTGCATGTGTGATCATAAATTATGTGAGCCATATTTACATATATGTTCATAGGATGAACTGTGTTAAATCTCTTGTGTTGCTTGTATGTGATGTTTGTGGCTTGTGGAAGAGTTCAGGCCTTAGCTGGTGCCACAGCATCTGATTCAAATCCTGGCTCCACCTTACAGGCTGTGTAGACCTTAACCTCATTCCTCTGAGTTTCACTGTTTACAGTCTGGGACTTATAGCAGTAACTCCCTCACAGAGTTGGTTTGTAGATTAGATGAAATGAAGAATATCAAGTTCTTGCATGCTGTTGTGCACCTGTAGGTGTTCCACAAATACCAGCATTTCTGTGATCATTACCGTTACTGATGAATTATGTCACATGGACCTTGATGGCAATACACGCATGCCATACTAGGCTGCATAAAAGGTGGTTTTCCTGTATTGCATGTGAGCTCACGATAGCATGTGTATTCGGTGCTGTTGTTTATGTTGGGCTGAATGTGTATTTTGTTTTCTGTTAGGTGTGTGTGCATTTTCTTCTGGTGCTTTACTTCTGTGCTTTATTTCAGGCTCTGCCACATTGCACATGCTCTTTGTTTTGTTAGATGTATAAACACATTACATACCACTGCACATAGATTTTGCTTTGTTGTGCACGTCCTGTGGCAATGCATGCACAAATAGTAACATCCTTCATAGAAGTGATAATAGTATCATATGGCAGATCTGACTGTGGTCAGAGGCTAGCTTTGCTTGGCCCACACATTTTTTTTAAATGGAGTTAACTAATATTTTTAAATGAAAAAACTTCACATAAAATCAGATGATATTTTCTTTTTCAAAAACTAGAATATGTGATAATATTGGCCCTACATTCCCATAAGACAATACTCGCTAGGAGTTAAAGATGGCTGCCCCCTTTAGGTGTGGTAAACATTAGGCAATTTGCCACAGTCCTCAGCATTCCATATTGTCCCTCACTTTCACACCAGCTTCATGTTTCATCTCATTTGTGCTATTTTTATCATTCCCATCCTGTTGTGCCCACTCCCATTCCCGTTCTGGCTTCCACAGTCAACTGGGTTTGCAACTTCTGGTTTATGAGTGCACAAAGTCTGGATGCCTTCTGACAAGCCCAAGAAGAGCTGGGAGTGAGGAGAGGGTATGCGGACCCCATTGAGGCATCAAGAATCCCTGATTTTCTGGAACTCCCGTGCTTTTCTAGACCTGTCTGCCACACTAGGAAGTAACTGCCATGGGTACTGACCCTGCTGATGGAGAAGAGCAGCCCAGGCCGGTCGGAGCACACGCCTGTGAAGCAGAAGCGCAGTTTCCAGTAGAAGAGGTGTTCCCAGATGAAGGTGATGAGGCTGAGGGCCATGGCGGCGGCCAACATATAGAACACGCCCGCCATGTTGTCGATGTCCAGCTGACTGCTCATCACCTCGTTCTTCTCATTGTGGCAGATCCCCGTGAGCCAGAGTGTCTCCAGTTCCTCCATCTCACCTGGACAGAACACAACATCCACAGGCAGTGAGGACCAAAGCACGCACTTTGGGCCAGACACCTCTGAGGTTGGGACAGACACGTGTGACTCACAGCTGTGTAACCTGAAGGCAGGATATGAGCTCCCCAAGTCTCCATTTGCTCACTTGTGGAGTCGAGACAATACGGATAACAGCACGAACTTAATGTTGTTGCTGTGAGTGTGAAACGAGAGAACACGTCTAACAAACCTAGCACCATTCTTGGTTCTGCTTTTTGGGGGTACCTTTTGGTTTTTGGGGATCATGATTACATTTTTCCTACTTTGCTTTCCCCTACCCTCGCCCTCAACCTTCACCCAAGCTTGGAATAGGACACAGGGATGAAAGAGCAGCACGCTACAGTGGAAAGATTTTATTTCAATTCTGACTTCATCATGTACCAGCTGCCTGACCTCAGAGACAAGGTTATCCTGTCTGTGGAATGGATATAATAATAAGGCATTCTTCTTGTATGAGGATCAAGTTGTGGTGAGGACCAAATGAAATTAATACGCGTAAAATCCCCAAAGGTCCTGGCTCATGGTAAGTTTTCCTACGGTGTGGCAAAATATTTATTGTTGTAATGGAAATGCCTAGCACAGTGCCTGGCATATGGTCATCCTAAAAATATTAGTTTCTTCTTTTTCCCACTCTTTAGAACAGCTGGGAATACTCCAAAAAGTCACACACAAGCAATGCACTTAGATCACAAAACTTCAATTGAAAAGAGACATTAAGCCGGGCTCGGTGGCTCAGCCTGTAATCCTGCACCTTTGGGAGGCTGAGGTGAGTGGAATGCCTGAGCCCGCAGGTTTGAGACCCACGTGGGCAGCGAGACTTCATCTCTACAATAAAGCAAAAAGATCAGCGTAATTCCGGCTACTTGGAAGGCCGGGAGCGGCCACTGCACTCCAGTCTGAGCAACAGAGTGAGACTCCAACTCAAAAAAAGAAAAGAAAAGAGACATTAAACTGGCTATAAATAGCCCCTTGAATACTAAACTAAACTACTCCCCTCTCCCCCACCACTTCAGCTGGCGATGAAAGAATCAGGTGGTTTTTTCAATGAAAAAAAGGCAAGCACAGTTAGCATTATTTTGTGTTTCTCTTTATGTGTATCCAGTTGCCACTTAAGAGAAAATTGTCTGATCTACACATCCAGTAATCATACTGTGTAGCAATTCACTAAAGGATGGCACTTAGAACTAGATTCAGCCTTTAAAAAGTATCCTTCAAGGACAGCGAAAATCAAGGAATATGCATCTAATGTAAAATAAAAAGAATGACTGTATTTTATACATGTATGTATATATGAGGGGTGACCCTCGAAAAACCTGGAATAATCTTTTGATGGGCTGGAAGTTGTTCCTCTGGATCAACCGATCAACCAAAGTTTCTATCCAGAAATTTTGAGAAGGTTGCATCATGACTTACAGAAGAAACATTGTGAGTTGTGGCAAACAGACGATTGGTTCTTCTACCATGACAACACACCTGCCCAAACTGCAATGTGTGTTCAGTAGTTTTGGATGAAGATGGCATGGTCTCCATGCACCACCCTTCCTATTCACCTGATCTCACCCTGAGCAAGTGTTTTTTGTTTCCCCAGATTAAAAAAAGGCCCTCAAGGGGGGACATTTTGCTGAAATGGAAGAGGTGAAACCATCAATGGCAGAAATACTAAAAGGCATCAAAACTGACAAGTTTAAAAATTCCCTTGAGCAGTGGAAAAAGCATCTTGATAGATGTATTGCATCAAACAGAGAGTACTTTGAAGGTGACTGAAGTTTAAACATGCAAGAATAAATACACAATTTTTATAAATTCCAGTTTTGGGGGTTCCATCTCAAATATGACCTCTAAGATGTAATAAAAGGCATGCAGAAAAAAATAAAAGAAATAACTCCAGATGTTTATATTGATTTTCTTTTGAAGAGGTAAGCCATAATTATCGATTGCATATTGGTCTCTTTTTAAAGTTTTATAAAATTAGTGTGCATTGTTTTTGTATAGTTTTCCCTCTTGAATGATATAGCTGAACATAGAAATCTAGGTTGGCAATTTTTCCTTGACCTTTTGAGGATGCTATTAAATTTTCTTCTGATCCGGATTGCAGCTGTCGAGAAGTCAGCTGATCATCGAATTGCTGTTAGTTTCTATACAACCTATATTTTCCCTCTAATTGTTTTTGAGAATTTCACTTTGTCTTTGATGTGAAATCAAGGCATGGATTTGTTTTATTTGTTCTGCTCTAAACTCAGTGTGCCTCTTCAACCTGAAGACTCAAAATTTAAATGCTGGCAAAAGTTCACCAATTATTGCTTTGAATATTAACTTTCCCCATTCCATCATTTTTAAAGTAAATGGATTTTATTTTTAGAGTAGTCTTCTATTTACAGAGAAAGTACAGAGTTTCCATATACTACCTCCCCCCTAGGCCTGTCAGTGTCCCCCATTAACATCTTGCCTTGATGTGGCACATTTTTTATAATTCATCTGGGTAAATCCCTGGGAGCACTGCTGGATTCTATGGTAAGGCTGTGTCTTAGCTTTGTAGGACACTGCCAAACTGTCTTCTCCAGTGGCTGCACCACTTTGCATTCCTACCAGCAATGAATGAGAATTTATGTTACTCCACATCCTCACCAATATTGATTAGAGTGGTCAGCGATAGTGTTTGGGATTGTAGTCATTCTAATCTGGGAGTAGTGCTATCTTATTGCTTTTATTTGCAATTCCCTAACGGCATATGACAGTACTATCTTTTTTCTTTCCCTAACAATGTTGTTTAAAATATCATGGACCTTCTTATTCTATCCTCTAGGATATTAACTTTGTTTTCATATTTTCACTCCTTTATCTCTCTATGCTGCATTTGGATGGTTCCCACAGATCTGTTTTCTAATTCATTTATTCTTTCATTAGATGAATTAGAAATAAATGAATTAGAAATACACACACCCCATATATATTTACTTAGTATAAATATATTTAACAAAATTACATAAAATCGACTATGCTTCAGGGACTGTAATACACACACACACACACACACAGAGAGAGAGAGAGAGAGAGAGAGAGAGAGAGAGAGAGAGAGAGTCTCGCTCTGTTGCCCAGGCTGAGTGCAGTGACAGTGACATGATCATAGTTCAGTGTTGCCTCCAACTCCTGGGCTCAAGCCTCTTGATTAGCTGGAACTACGGGCGAACGCTGTCATGTCTGTCTAATTTGTATTTTTTAAACTTTTTTTAGAGGTGGGTTCTCGCTATGTTGCTCAGGCTGATCTCAAACTTCTGACTTCAAGCAATCCTCCTGCCTCAGCCTCCCAAAAGCACTGGGATTATAGGTCACTAGTACTATTTAGCTTTATGTCTTAATTTTATGTTTATGTTTTATATTAATTTTAATATATTTAATGTAATAATTCTGCTTGTTCTTTTTATCGTATATCCCACTCTTCCATTATGATTTTTTAAACATGTATGTGTTTAACAATTTCAAACCTATAGTCTTTCAGATTATTCTCCCCTGCTCCACCTATCTTAGTTCTTGGGATTCTCATTCCTCTGTGGTGTGGTCTGACTCTCATGGTGGGCTACTTCTTTGAGACATTTGTGACTTTTGTTCATAGGATAATCTTCTGCAGAGTTGTTCTCCCTTTAAGACCCATGGGACTCCCAAGAACACAAGAGTATAGAAATGTCCCTACAGAAGGTTTCTGGGTTGATGTCTGCCAGGCTCTAGGGTTTTTTAATGTACCAGTTTTTATGTGAAAAAATTTCTTACTGTGATTACTGCACCATTTAAGTAGCATACATTTGAATTCCCATACTCACTTGGGTTTTAATTTCTCACTCAGAGCTTCAAACAGATGGCAAGCCTTGCATTTTCTTTACTTTGATGGACAGAGATTTTCCTAGACTCCTTTTCATAGACCAAGTGACTCATTAAAGGTCTCAGATTTGTTAATCAGAAAAAGAAGCATACATATTAATGAGATTAAAAAATAGGAAATCCATCCCCTTTCAAGTTCTCCACCCACAGAGAAGGGTGCTGGTTGATCAGTGGTGCAGGAGAACTGAAGGGAAGGGGGTATCTTGGTTTAATTTCTTTCCCTCCAACAGCCTCCAGTGCTTTCACACAGTCATCAAGGCGAAGGCAGACTCTAACAGTATCTCATTGTCAACCTGACATTATCACAAATTCATCCAAGTTCCTCTGCCCAACCATGTGCCCCAAGATCTACATGACTGTTTCCTCTTCTCCCAAAAACCACTCATGCCATTCCTTTCAAAACACACCATGCCATTGACTTTCCCCTCCCTTTGGAGTGTGTGAGGACACAAAGATTGGAGCTTTTCACCATGACTCATCACATTCCCAGCACATCTTCCTACTGGTACTGTCCCAAAGACAGCCTGGTTTGTAAGCCTGGAACAGGAGTAGTTTGATACAAGAAACATCGTCTTCATTCTCTGCAGGATATAAATATAAAGATTTTCTGCTGCCCTTTGCCCAAACAACACCTCTTTTTAAAATAAGTCAACCTGGTAAACCAGACCTCCATCCTGAAAGGAGAGCAAATGCACATTTTTCAATACCAATTACAGCCCGTTCCAATCATTTTTGAATTAATCATTTCCTGCCTCGTGGCCCTCTTTGACTAGTGTACTGAACTGTAGTTCAAATACTTTCTTATTTCATTTTTAATTTACCCAAGTACATTGTAATCTCCTGGAGGGAGATCAGGGACCATGTTTTATGGTTCTGATATTTCTCATAGCCTGCAGCACGTAGTGAGCACTGAATCCATATTTTCTGTTTCTGTTTCTTTTCTGATATTCCCAGGCTTAAATTGGGCAGCGTTGCAGAAGTGCTCAGATCTGTTTGGCGGGTTATTCTGCCCTATCAATAGAGAAAATGCAGAGCAAAAGGGACCTTACAGTGGACTTGAGAGTAAAAAGCTGGGATATATGCATGC